CCTCTCTCTCTTCTTCTCTCTCTTCTTCTCTCTCTTCTTCTCTCCTTTTCGTTTTCCCTCTCTCACACACATTATCCCCGTTCTTGTCTGAAGCTTAAGCCAGACCATTACGGATTGATTAATAAAGTTTCTCTTGACTCCTTTCTTTCCGGTGTTGCATGGGTGCAGATGGGACATCTCTGGTTTATTATTTGACCCTGTGGATTGACCAGCGGGCTTGAGATTTGACGAAGACACAGCGGAAATGGAGCCGAAAGAGTTCTTGCCTTTCCCACCCCCTGTGGGTGAGCAGAGCACTTTCATACCGTCAGCGCCTCCAGAACCCCCTTTCTACCTAGCCCCGGAGGAAAATGTGCTTATTTCACCCCCTCAGTTGGCTACGGGTAGGCCATATGCTATGACGCGGCATCATCCTGTCACAACTCCATTTTCGTTCCCGTCGCCACGCATCGCTCAGGCCTCGAATGCTATGGCAGCGGACTTTGTGCCCATGTCGATTGCAGAGCCGTTGTTTGAAGCGCAGTGGCCAGTCCTCACTCTCCCACACACGATTCCAACCTCATCGTCTGCGTCGGTTGCTTTGCGGACTGATCCTCCAGCAGCTCCGGAACCAGTGCCTGTGTCCGAGCCCCCAGTGCCGTTTTCAGAGCCAGGTGCGGAATCTGGCTGGCCTCTCCTCCCTCTTCCACCTCTAAGACGTCTCTTTGTAGATGGGCCCACAGACAAGGCACATCATAGGAACATGGGTGACCCGTACGCCGATTACCGAGTCAGTCCCAGCGATGGAGATGCGTCTCCAGAAGAGGCCATGTTGGCCATCCCGACACCTGCAGCAGCAGCAGCAGCAGCAGTCGTGGTGTCATCATCACATCGGAAGACACGGAAGTACCCCTGCCTTGTGCCATTGATCGTTGTCTGCTGCTGTGGGGTCTTCGGGGCCACTATGTATGTCAACAACTGCCCTGCAATGCGTGATGACTGCATTTTGCCCTTCTTAGGAAGAATGTCGTTTGAGCCGTTGAAGGGTAATCCTTTCTTGGGCCCTTGGAGCGGGACTCTCGTGAGAATGGGTGCCTTAGATCCCAGCCGGATGCGCAAGCACGAGAGAGAGAAATTCCGCCTTCTCACCTACTTCTGGCTTCATGCTGGCGTCTTACATCTGCTGATCAACATGCTGGGCCTGGTGTTCATCGGGATTCGTTTGGAAAGGGACTTTGGGCCGTGGAGAACGGCGTTAGTCTATTTGCTAAGTGCGGCTGGGGGCAGCTTGATGAGCGGGCTGCTCTTGTACAATAACATCTCTGTTGGCGCTTCGGGTGCCCTTTTTGGACTACTGGGGGCCAACCTAGCAGAACTGATTATCAATTGGGGCATCTATGAACGTCGCTGCTCAACGCTCGCCCTCCTCGTCTTCATGGTCTTTCTCAACCTGCTTATTGGCCTGTCCCCAAATGTAGATAACTTCTCTCACATTGGTGGTTTCTTCTCCGGATTGCTCCTCGGATTCGTCTTGCTAGTTAAGCCGCAATACGGGTACATAAATCCCAGCAGCCTGGGCCCAGAGTTCCACGACATCCGACTAGTGCCCCTGTCGCCGAAGCGCAAACACAACTGCTGCCAGACTTTGCTGCGCTCTGCAGCGTTGCTGGTCCTCGTGGCTGGCTTTGGTGCCGCCCTTGCTCTCGTCTTTCTCAACGTGGATGGAAATAAGGAGTGTCATTGGTGCAGGTACATGAGTTGCGTCGACACCGTCATGTGGACCTGCGATCAGCACCCAGGTGTCGTCACTTGCAATGCAACAGAGACAAAGCAGGGGTTTATCTTCGGGTGCGACAATGGTCAGACGAAACAGATCAGCGTTCAAAACCTGTCATCCTCTGAACTTAGTCATCTTTGTTACCGGATATGTAGATAGCTTCGGCGCATTTTGGAGGATGATATTATATTTATAAATGTAGTTTTTCATCACGTCATCAGCAAGCAGCCCTCTCCATGCACAATGGTCAACTTGACGTCCAAAGCGTTCACAGCAGCATCCCTCTGCATGCATGCACAACTGTTAACTTACGTCAGCAAGCATCCCTCTCCATGCANAACTTGACGTCCAAAGCGTTCACAGCAGCATCCCTCTGCATGCATGCACAACTGTTAACTTACGTCAGCAAGCATCCCTCTCCATGCAAAGTGGTGAACTTGACGTCCAAAGCGTTCACAGCAGCATCCCTCTGCATGCGTGCACAACTGTTAACTTTTGACGTGCAAAGCACAGCTGTGGCTGGAAAGGAGAAGGATGACGAGGTAGAGGAAGCATGCAGCTGCACAGATGGCTGCTGCACTTTCTGGAGGTGTCTTCAGTGGCGGGGCCTCTGCTAGTCTAAAGCTGGATCTTATTGTTATCGTCCCCATTTCGGCATTTGCCAGAAGCTCGTTATGCATGCCTTTTCCTGGAGATGGCCGCTGCACTTTCTTGAGGTATCTTTGGTGGCCGGACCTGTAGTACTCCACAGCTACCATCTTCACCCGAATAGAACGCCCGGTCATTATAGCAGTATTTGGTGCAACTTTCAGTCCAGATACGGCGAAAATTCCCGGGCGTTCTATTCGGGCCAAGAGGTGCATTTGATTGTTATCTTTCCCCATTTCGGTATTGGCAAGAGGCTCGTGATGCATGCTTTCGGACCGAGATGCCGATTGTATTTGGTGTCTGCCTATGCAGGCAGCGTTATGATGGAGTATGCACTCAACCTCCCTGGTGTCCATGTGCATGAATCAGGCTATGTTGGATCAGGGTCCTCCTCATCCAGCATAGCAGAGATGGGGATCAGAATTTAGCTACACAGGTATATGCTTGTGGCCCTTCTTCCGTGCTGTTCAGCCTGAAGGGCTAGCGGGGACTCCCGGCAGGCAGGCCTGTCAAGCAACGGGCAGACCCTCCCTGGTTTCCGTGGGGAGGGAGTGATGAGCTGAGGGGGTGAGAGTGATGAGGCCATGAGGGGGTGGGAGTGATGAGGCCATGAGGGGATGGGGTGAGAGGGGCCGAAGGATGCGAACATGAGCTGGGGGAGAAAACTGTACTTGAAACAGGGTGAGACCGGATGGGGTGAGAGAGGATGAGGCAACGGTCGTTTGGAAGGAAGATAGTGGAAAGGGGACGAGCTGATGGGGTGAAAATAACGAGAAGATGAGAAGACCAGCACAGGAGATGGAGGGAGAAGACTGTGCACTTATGTACTTAATACATAATAAAGACAGGCACAGTCTGCATACCACAGAAATCGAAGAATCTGTACAGGTGCTCATAGACCGTTACTGACAGACTGGCGGCACACG